AAGAATACGTTTGACAACTTTCCAATGTTCTTCCATGGGAGAGCACATGAACTGACTTACCTTGTTGACACTGAAGGCAATTTCAGGCCGCGTAATTGTGGCATACTGCAATGCACCAACTACGGACCTGTACAACGTAGGATCATCAAATAGAGTACCACCTTTAGCAAGCTGTTGGCCACCAATCATAGGAGTGGAGATGCCTTTTGAATCTTCCATTTTGACCTTAGTAAGAAGATTAGTGATATACTATATATATATTAATGATGGATCGAAGTGATTGAATCAAGAGATACCTTAATACTATTAGGCAAAGCAACAACATCATGTTGGAGTTGTAAATGGATACTCGCATATTGTACAAGTCTAAACCATGAACAATTTTAATAAGTTGCATATAAATTAATTTTTAAGGGAGTGTTTGTTTGAATGGTTAAAATTTGTTTGGTATGTTATACATGTTTTGGGAGATATTTATAAATATTATTTGGAAATAAAAAATTAACTACATTAAACAAGCAAATAATATTACCAAAAAAAAGGCAAATAAAGAATAATGTAATAATTTTAACATAATAAACTTTTTCTTTTTAATTTGGAAGTGTTAGACTCTCGCCTTTTAATGGAGAACAATTTTGTAAAAAATTTATGTAAAAAAATAAAATTTAAAAATAATTTCTAAAAATACTTTTTTTTTTTTTAAATAACAAACTAAATATTAAAAAAAAACTTCATATTCTTGATAGAGAAAAAAACTTCTAAATACCAAACGCTCTAAGTATCCAGAGATCTTTTTAAGGAGAGTTGTTTAGTAGATAAAATTTTAGTGGTGTCAACGAAAGTCAAAGTTACGTTCATAATAAGAAGAATGAAATTAAACTTTTTACTTAAACTAAGTAATTCATATATTATTAATTGATTTGATAATTTACATATATAAAACCCCAAAATATTAGTGGTGAAAGTTAGGGTATCATATTTGATAGGTTGCAAATAAAAACTATGAACGGTTTAGGTATATATAAATTTCTCTATTAAAAAAAAACTGTTTGAGATTAGAGATTTTTCCTACCTTGAGTTTGACATCATCCTTTTTTCCCAAATTTTTTTATATCAGTTAATAATCATACTAGAAAGTTGATCTGATTTTAACATTGCGTAATTATAGCAAGTTATATAGGCCCAATCTAAGCAGTTTTACTGCAACTTCGATGGATATTTTTTAATCTTAAAATATAATTTTACATGATTAATTTCCGTAAATTAAAATTCAAATAACTTGTTTTCTTTACTCATTCGTTTCTCATTGTTTAATTAAAAAATGACACATGAACAAGAAAAAAAAAGAAATACATGTATATAAAACTGAATATATACATATAAATTAATCTCAAAATAAAATGTTGATTGAAGAATATAGTGAATGTATATGACAACCTTCTAGCATAACATGCGAAATAGAAATCGAATATATATGACATTAATCAGATGAAATCCATGATTGTTTTAGGAATAATTGGATAGTATCTAACATAGAAATAAAAGGTATTTGATTAGATAAATTTAGAAAATAGATAGAAGTGGTTGAGTACAATAATCTATCGTCCTTGTATTATCCATACAGATAGTGTGGAGGTTTAAAGAAATTTGACGTCTTCTCAAGGGTGAGCTGTGTGACTAACTGATTTAAATCAAACTGATTTTTGTATCATCTAACAGACAACAGACATGGTCCTTTAACAGGGACGTGGACCTCCCTCTATACCTTCACCTCTTGTAACCTGTCCTACACATAATAATAATAATAATAATAATAATAATAATAATAATAATAATAATAATAATAATAATAATAATAATAATTTGTTATGATTATCATATTTACATATCACCAACAAGCTTTAGAAACAATTAAATTAATTATCTAAAATTCATATGTTCACAACGTTTGGATATGTATATTATAACGTGCATATATATAAACTTATACTAAATATAAGAAAATTAAACAATTATATATAATTATATGTATTATGAATATAAATCATAAGTTGTTGGTCAAGTAACTACTATTAATAATTTTTGTCAAAAGTAGCATCAAACTACACGCTAGCTGCATGACTCCACACAAACAGTTTGTCTCTAATTAATATTATCTTACTCTCATGTAAACATGATCATTACAATCCAACAACAGAAAAATATTATAAAGGTTTGTTAGATTTCAAAAGAAAATAACCATATAACAAGTATAGAAGAAAATGCATTTATACTATCAATAACCTCAACATGCAAGCTACACAACAAAATCACATCATGGTCTACACCTTAACACTTCAACTTGACATTCAACACCTTGCAAGAGTAAGCAATTCAACACATGAACATTCATATATCACAACATCAATTTCATTCAACAACATCTTCAACCAAGCATATGAACAACACCAAACAACACTACAT